GACTGCAAGTAGCCCCTAGAAGCAGGAAAAGGAAATAGATTCTCCTCTAGAAACCCAGAAAAGAGTGCAAACCTGCTGATATGCTGATTTTAGCCCAGTGAGATCCATTTTTGACTTCTGAGCTCCAGAACCGTGAGATGACATATTTGTGTTGTTTCAAACCACTAAGTTGAGGTAACTTGTTAACAGCCACAGTAGAAAACTAATACACATGCCAAGATCATCCTACCTTAGGGAAGTAACTTAGGTTGTTCACCACTTGTTCCCTCTGCCTTGAAGTGCTCATCTTCCAAATATTAGCATTGTGGACGTTTCCCCATCATTTGGGTCTCTGCTTAAATTGCATGCCTTCAGAAAGGCCTTCTCCCACCACTCAGAGTAGCCTCCTTGTTACTCTATCATGTGACTTGTTTTCTTTTCATCATGGCATTTGTCACTACTTATTCCTTTTCTTTTTATGCAATTATTGGAATACAGAAGCAAAGCTGAACCCTTGTCTCTCACTTTTCCTTGTAACCCCAGTATCAGAATAATGCCTCGCAAAAGGAGCTCAATAAATATTTGTTGAATAAATGAGTAACCGAGCATCTGTTCCGTGCAAGGCAATCTATATACACTATCCCACTGAACCTTTTCAACAGCCTGATGAGCTAGAATTCCTATCAACATTTTATTAAACATAAAGTCTGTGAGAGTAAGATGTATCCCTGTTTTGGCATATAGTAAACATTCATAAGTATTAGAAGTAAGCAAACCATCTTCAAAGAGACTGAGTAACCAATGTGAATAACAAGGTTTAAATGTAAATATTTGCTACATTAATAACTATGGTTTCCATAAGCTATTGTTGAAGAATCCAGGAACTATAGCAACTGTGTTTTCATGAGCTCAAACTTTCATTTTACCTGCCTTCGGACATCTCTCTTTATATGCCTAGGTGGCCTTGCACACAAGATATAAACTAAATTTAAAATCTGTTCCCCAAATCTGCTTTGTAAAGATTCCCTGGCTGAGTGAATGGCACTGGCATCTATCTGAAGGACATTCTGGGAGTCATTTTAGACTGCTTCCCCATTCCCCTAGAGGTGACTGGTCATTTGTTTTTAATTCTTTCTGCTTAACAGTTTTTATACTAATTGTCTTTCCCAGCTCCATTCACTTAGTCACTTCTTCCTGAACTGTTTGTGGAGAAAATGCTTCTTAAGGAATTTTCCCAGCACACTGGACATATCATCACTAGCCAGTCTAAAATCCTTCAGTGGCCTCCTAAGTATTTAATAAAATCTGAATCCTTGGTGATGACATGAGAGGTCATACGTGATTTGTACCCTGCCCAGTTCTCTCTACCCTTTCCACATCACTCTCCCTTCACTGACTCATCTAGCTATCCCGGTCTTGGAATTCCATGGTGTCAAGCTCTTCCTTGCTGAGTAATAGCTTTCTCCCACCTGCCTGCTCATCCTTCTGATCTCAGCAGGCTTTCCCCAATCTAGATTTTTCACAACATCCTGTTCCTTTCCGATGGCAACTTGTAATGACATGTTTGTTTACATCTGTCTCCTCTACTAGATTATAAACTCCTGAGGGCAGGTTTTGTCTTTTTTTGTTCATAACTGAATGCACAACACTGACACATGCTGGCACATAGTGGAGACCATTAAATATTTGTTCAATATACAAATATAATATTTATTGAACAAAGAGCATTTTTCATGTGTCTTTTAGAGACGTGTGCTTTCACATGTACATTTTCATTGGGATGATGTCAGGTGAAGTGGCAGGGGTAATAAAGAGAAAAAACTAAGGTGAAGAGACAGAGGGAAGGAAAAAATGACAGGAAAAAAATGAATGAAAGAGAAAGGGTATAGAATTATTGAAGAAAGAGTAATGGAAGAAAGAGAGGGCAGGAAGGGGTTTGTAGTAGGTTGAACAGTGGGCACACCAAAAACAGATCCATATCTAATCCCTGGAATCTGTGAATGATTCCATTTCTAGTTTTCTAGAGTTGCCAGAACAAAGTACTGCAAACTGGGTGGCTTGAAACAACAGAAATTTATTCTCCCACAGTTCAGGCCAGAATTCTGGAATCAAGATGTCAGCAGGGTTGGTTCTTTCTGGGAGCTTTGAGGGAAAAATCTGTTCTATGTCTCTCTTCCAGCTTCTGGTGGTTGTTTCCGAGGCAGAATCTTGGGCATTCCTCAGCTTGTGGACACATCACTCCAGTCTTCTGCTTTCATCTTCATGTAACTTTCTCCTCCTCATGTCTCTTTTGTGTGTTACCACATGTTCTCCTTATAAGGACACCTTAAGTGGATTTGGGACCCATCCTAATCCAGTATGACCTCAACTAATTACATCTGCAAGATTCAATTTCAAATAAGATCACATTTGGAGGCTCCAGGTGCACATAAATATTTGGGGGACATATTCGACAGAGTACAATCACCTAATTTGGAAAAAGAATATTTGCAGGTGTAATTAAGGATCTTAAAATGAGATCATTCTGGATTATCTGGGTGGACCCTAAATTCAATGGCAAATGTCTTTATAAGAGACACACAGAAGAGGAGACATAGAAGAGAGGAGGCAATGTGAAGACAGATGCAGAGACTGGAGTGATGTGGCCACCAGCCAGACACACAGAGGAGAAGATGATGGGAAGATGAGGGGCAGAGATTGGAGTGATATGGCCATAAGGCAAGGAAGCCAAGTTATGCCAACAACCACCAGAAGCTGGAAAAGGCAAAGAAGGATTCTCTCTCTAGAGCCTCCAGAGGAAATATGGCCTTGCCAACACCTTGACTATGGACTTTTGGTTTCCAGAGCTACGAGAAAACAGATTTGTTATTTTAAGGCATCCAGTTTTAGGTATTTGTTAGGGTAGTCATGGGAAACTAATATAGGTCTTACAATAACATAACAGAAATCGCAGCACACTATATTTTCCTTTAAGTATCATTAAAAACAAAAAAACCGGGGCGCCTGGGTGGCTCAGTCGTTAAGCGTCTGCCTTTGGCTCAGGTCATGGTCCCAGGGTCCTGGGATCGAGCCCCGCATCGGGCTCTCCGCTCTGTGGGAAGCCTGCTTCTCCCTTTCCCACTCCCCCTGCTTGTGTTTCCTCTCTCACTGTGTCTCTCTCTCTCTGTCAAATAAATAAATAAATAAATAATCTAAAAGAAAACTTTAAAAAAAAAAACCTTTCCATGAGTTAGACTCTGCTGTAAACAGATCAAAGAGCTCTTAGTAAATGGGAATTTGCAAACAGCCATAAAATTAAACTGGCCCAATTCTCTGTAATCATAACATTTAATGATTTTTTTTTTAAATACAAGAGCATATCTTCAATGACTGAAGATAATTGTGTGTAAACTACCTTTCATCTCCACTTACCTGGTGACTGCCTGATAATTAACATCAGGTTTCATCACATCTCATGTGCTTTCTTTTCCATTTTCAGGTTGTTTAATGTCATCTATGTCTTCCTATTAAGTTCTTGTTATCTTGAGTTTCACTTTTTGTCATTGTGCCTGATGTAATAATTAGATGACACTCCACACTGTGTAACCTACAACTGGTAGCATACCTGCAAAAACTGGCTTAGTTTTTGGACAGCAAGTCATGTCATCAAGATAAAGCTAAATAAGTAGAGGAAATTACCAAATGAGTCTCTTTCAATCTCCAAATAAATTCAGAATTAAAGGCTGGCATCACTGAACAATCCTAGAAGTCTCTTACAAACCTGAGGTTCCAGTTAGACACCACACTACTTCAAAATGTCAGATAGTATTTTATTTGTTCATTTATTTTGGTGCATACTGGGGAGAAGTTGAAGTTCCTGCTGGGTCTAGGAGTAAAAAGCCCATTCATGAAATAATCAATGTCACCGGTTGCTAGAAAACCTCAAGGGAGAAACTGGGGGACACATAGAATCCAGCACGAGGGCCCATGGAAGGCGGGAGCTCCCCTCTATTCGGTTCCTCATCATTTTTCTTTTTTTTTTTTTTTTGACTTGAGGTCCTTGGCCCCCTTCCCACAGTTGTCCTGCTGCTTGGGTGGGCAGGCCCTGAGGGTCAAGCAAGAGCGTGCACTCGCGCACCCTCCAGACTCCCTTGCTCGGACCCCACCCTGCCCATCCTTAGCTTCGCTGGGAGGGAGCTTGAGGACTGCCTGGACGGAACTTGAGCACTCATCACTGCCCCCGAAGGAAGACCTGGTCCCCTGCTCCCAGGAGAGGACTGAACCCTTGCAGACCTCCCCACTCCCGGGGGCCTGCGGGGTCTCGGGCCTCGGGGCCTCGGGTCCAACAAGCCACGGACCTGGCTGGTTCCGCCCGCCCTCCCGGGATGCAGAGGATGCTGGAAGGCAGGGGTCCTGCGGACTTGGGCGTTAGGTGAACGCCCAATTTTCAACCCACCCTCGGGGCGAAAACTCCCCAAAAGAAGGAGCCGCTTTCCCGCGCGCACCTCGGAGCGCCTCTAACTCCCGGGGCTCCCGCGGAGAACCTGGAGACCGACAGTGGCCTCCCCTTCCCCCCGCGCACACGTCAACGCCGGCGTCGGGGGAGCGTCGTAATGCCCCGAAGAAGCGCGCCACCAAAAAAAACACCCCGAACCCCGCCGCCGCAGCTGCCAACGGAGAAATCCCTGCCCGGAGTCCATGCTAAGCTTTCCCGCAAGTTCATGGCAAAGCAAAACAAAGTTTCTCCATGGATGTGCTCCAGGGGCGCGGGCAGCTGTGCCTAAAAGTTTGTCGGAGCGGGACCCTCGATAAGGCTGGGTGGCTGTGAAGTCTAACGTCTCTCCGAACACCAGTCATTCCTAAGGTTCCGCAGGTCCTGGCGGTGGCGTCTGTCAGCCACACCAGGCAGCCAGTTTCCCTTATCTGATCGCCTGCCTTGGCCGACTTGGCCCGTGTCTGCTTCAGAGCATTTGTGCTTGGGAGCCGCGGATAGAGCTGCCGTGGCAACGTGCGCGTCTATTATGAGGCGTGTGGTAGTGATGGCGGCGCTCACTGAGACTTCCCTGTCACTGGATACTACTACTCCCAGCCCTCCTCAAAGCCGCCGGAGTAACCCCCTGGTCTTTAGTTTACAAGTGGCAATTTGACTTGCTCTGCTGCATGTCTGGAGGGACCGTGGAAAGTGTGGAGACGCCCCGGGGATTAAGCGATCGCAGCTTAAAAAGAAAAAAAGCCAAACAAATAAACAAAACCCACCCACCCTAACAAACATGAGGCTGCTGGAGAGAATGAGGAAAGAATGGTTCATGATTGGAATAGTGCTGGCGATCGCCGGAGCTAAACTGGAGCCATCTATAGGGGTGAATGGGGGTAAGTGCTGCACCTCTGAACGCTCCATCGCGATTCCCACTTCAAAACTAATTTTCGAGTCTGGGAAAGGAGGGGGAGACCTTAGTCGGGAAGTGGATAGTTCTCTCAAGGGCACTGACCAGTTCGGGGTGTCATTTGGCCCTTTTGCTGATGTTTTAATTTACCGACCCCAGATTGTAATTAGGAATGGGGCAAAGGAATTTGAACGCAGGTTACCTTTTCCACGAACAATCAATGAGTATCCATAGTGTTAAGGAGTGAGCTTACTGAGAGTGAAACTTACTCCTCTTGCCTTCAAAGTAGCATCCTATCCCAAGGGACGCTAGGTTGCCAGGAGTTCCTTATCTATCTTGGAGTGGCCATCATTACCTTGTCTATTTCCGGATCTCCCCCCTTCCCCGCCCCCACGTTTAAAAAAAGGGGGTGGGGAAGAAAAAGAAAAAGGGATACCCTTCATTCTCCAATTCAGATTTTGTGGCCCACATGTTGCAGAATGATGATTTGCTGCAATTGCCGCCGCTTCAGAAACTCCCAAGCCGACTGACACGTTGCACTTTTTCATTACAGGACACTACTTCCGTGTGCTGCCAGGACTCAGTTGTTAGTACTCTAACAGATACAGTCTGTGTTAGGCTATGTGTAGTGTGTATTTTGGCAAGGAAATGTAGGCAGGCTAAAATCATACTCAGGTTTCTGAATAGTGGGAGCCTTGTAATGTGGAGGTGGGCATTGGTGGAAACGACTGGAAATATTATTAGTCTTTTATTCTCCTCCCTGCCTTTTCACCCTTAGACAATCGTGTCCTACTTTTCATAAACATTAATTGAATTTCTTCAATTCATTGTCTTTTTGACCTTGTCAGTTTCTACCTTTATTGATAGTTTTAATAGGTCAGTCATACAACAGGGACAACTAAGAACAGAATTCAGCACACACAGTCTTTTAGGAAGTGCTCAGTAAGCTATTTGAAGTTATATATACCTCTTTGTTAAAACATGTTGGAAGTGAATGAAATGATCTCTCATTGGAACAGTGGTTCCTTCTACCATCTACCCTCAATTCCTCCATTTAGAAGTAGCTGCAGGGAATATTTTAAAAGGAATTATATGAACAAAGATTATGAGGATTAAAACTTTTTATTTATTTTATGTTTTTTCCTTCTATGTTCAATTTAATACAAAATGTGTAGAATACGTAACTGAGAATAAAGCTGATGTTCATCATGGTTTCTCCTTCTGAAGATCTTTGACCTGGCTTCCCTGGGAGCTTTTGGAAAACTTGTGAATGCTGTTTCAAGTTCTGTCAAATGAGTACCCTCTGTTCCTGGAGCTAGCTGGATGGGCAGAATTAAAGTTAGAGCGTCTTTGTGGTGATCTGGAATGTACACTTAACTAGCTTCAGCAGCACACTTTCTAGCTTATGGTGTTAGATCTCTTATTTGCTCATTGTTAAGGTGTAATTACAGGTGATGTATTATCTTTATGTTTAAATCTGCAGGGGCTAGCTTTGGTAAAATGCTTTTTATTTTATATTCCCAGGATGCTGTGGAAGAAGGGTTATTGAATGCTGAATCATTTTCCTAGGGCTTCTTGAAAGCCCTAGGAAAGATGGATTCTGTAATCTTATTTGTTCCTTCTGACTCTGCCTCTTGAAGTTTTGGTATATTATCGTATCTTAGAAATAATTGCTTCCGATTTTTACCGGTACTTAAGCCATTAATCCAGGATAATTCACTTCTTCGTTTAATTATAAGAGTAGAATGTTAAGAGCTGAAAGGGACCTTTAAATATTTTAAGCCAACAAGATGCTTTTACAGTTGAAGATACTGAGACCTGAGGTCAGGTGACTCATCCTTGGTTAGTTGGCTAGCTCAAGAAAGAGGCACTGGACACCAGGGCTCTCCATTTTTTTTCATACTAGTTGCAAAACCCATACAAATTTTCTTGGCAAAAATAATTTAAAATGAATATTATAAAGAAGGACTCTACAATAAAGGCATTTTCAGTGCCTCAATTTTAGCTCAAAAGAGCAGAGCAGAATCAGCTAATATTAAATAACAATGTACTCATGTGATTTGATAACTGTCCATGTGCAAAAATTACTTTTTCCAAAAAATTAGAACAAACGATTGTTTGGGATTTCTTATATAGGCTGTCAGGCTAAGTTCTTGATAATTCTGTTCAGCTTTTAATTGACCTTCCCACCTGTGAAACCTCTTAAGTAAAAATAAACCTCCAAATAGACCAAATAACACTTTCACTTCACAAGTTAAAACAACAAAAATCTAGGATAAGGAGAAGAATAGTTGCTGAAAATGTTTCTATTACATCCTGCTCTTTAGAATGGTCAAAAGCACCTCTTTTTTTTTCTTAGATTTTGTTTACTTATTTGAGAGAGAGCATGAGCTGGGGGAGAGGCAAGTGGAGAGAGAGAGGCAGACTCCCTGATGAGCAGGGAGCCCCATTCGATGCAGGACTTGATCCCAGGACATGACCTGAGCTGAAGGCAGATGCTTAACCAACGGAGCCATCCAGGCGCCTCCAAAGCACCTCTTTGTACTTGTAATTTTTATTTTTTTTATTTCTATTTTTTTGTACTTATAATTTTTAGTCATAAGTTGCATTTATGGGCTCTGTACACTTGGGAACTGTGATTTTTAGTGCCTTCATATTGACTGAACAATTTTCAATAGAACAGTTTCCTAGACATTCTTTTAAATAGGAAAAGTTTTGGTAGTCTTAAATTTGTTAAGATGTTCACTTCATCTTTACCTGGGTCAGTACCTTAACGACTACACTCTTTATACTGAAGTGATTTAAGTGCAAGACCTCTGCACTTAAAAATATCATACCTTTGATCTGACCTCCCTTTAAAAACAGTCTGTACGGCCAGTAGGTGAATTATGTATCACAGGAAATTTATAGGTAATGGAAACCTGAAAATTAGAGATGTTGAATGACTTTCCAAGTGGGAAAAAGCATCACATGTACTAGCCTAGATAATTTAATTCTTAGTTCACTGTCCTTTTTACTCAGGTACATTTCATTTTTAAATATATAGGAGAAGTTGAAAATAGTCGGGGTAAATGTAAATGTGTAGATTCTGAGGTGTTGATAATCTGTTCCAGTTCCAGTGCAACCTAGGGAAGCCCTGAGCTATGCACACCTTAGAGTTTACCAGAGTCTAACACTGTGCTATTCATTCTTGGGAACAGAAAGGTTTCCTTCTTTGGAAGGACAGAGTAAGTTTCTCATTTCTACCTGCATCTTAATTTAGATTATTGACATTAATAAGACATAAATCCTAAAAGGAAACTGCTTTGTTTTTCCATTAAAAAACATAAGTAGAAACATGTTGAAGCTAAAGTATGTTCGCATTAATATCCTAGATTAGGTTTAGAAGTGAAATTTACTTGGTGATGAGTAGATTTTATGAAATGGTAATAGTTCCTTGCATTTTTAAGCATTCCAAATCATTTTCTTTTATCTCCCCCAATAAAAAGCATGGATTTGGAGAGCCCAAAAATTGCCTCGTTTTTTCTGGCTAATTTTTCTTCTGATTTTGCTACCCTATTCCATTTTCACTGAGAAACTTTTTTTTTTCTTTTGTTTAAAGGAAAAGCTAAAACTTTTATTTCTGCTTTGAACTTTATAGCCATCTTAAGATTCAGATCTTATTCAGATCTATTTTGGTGACATGGAGTATATAATCATTATCTTGGAGAGAGGCCAGATCTCATTTTTATATGTAGTCTCAACTCTCACCTCTGGGCAAATATTTACCAAGTGTTTATTTCAGGCCTGTGTGACTTCTAGGTCCCCATTCCCAACTTGGGCAATCTATTAGCATTTCAGTTGATCACCTCTCAAAGGGGCTTTAGGTTTCTTGAAATCAGAATTAATTCCTTCTTCACCCCACCTTTTTTTTAAGAGAGGGAGAGAGAGGCGGGAGAGGAATAGGGGGAGAGGGAGAGAGAGAGATCTAAAGCAGGTTCCACGCCCAGCATGGAGCTCAGTGCAGGGCTAGATCTTACGACCCTGAGATCATGCCCTGAGCCGAGATCATGCCCTGAGCCGAAATCAAGAGTCGAACACTCAACCAGTTGAGCCTCCCAGGCTTTTGAAAGGTACATTGTAGGAAGACATGGAATATCTTCATCATGTTCTTCCATGGATTAAAGTTGTTTAGATGTGCATCTAATACAAAAGACCGTGTACCCCGTCTCTAGAATTTAAAACATTAAAAGCCAGGAATCATTCCACTGAATTATGCCAATCAGTTCATAGTTATCATGTGTATTTGTGTGTGTGTGTGTTTGTGTGTGTGTGTGTGTGTGTGTGTATAGCATGGAAGAGTTAGCTTCTTAAAAAAATATAGTTGTTGGCCAACTAATGTAGATGCTTTAGCTGCCCCAAAGAAACATGCAGTCTAAGGAAACCATGTCCCTGCTGTGGAGGTACATCTTTGGACAAGTCCCCTGCTCTCCTTTGTGACCACATTGCTCATTTTAACTCATCCCATATAGAAATTCTGGGGCTCCACTGTGGGCAGAGGTGTAGCTGACAAGAATAAGGTCTCATAAAAAGCAAAGGATTGGAGGAGAATAAAGATTTTATTTATTTATTTGAGAGAGAATGAGATAGAGAGAGAGCATGAGAGGGGGGAGGGTCAGAGGGAGAAGCAGACTCCCTGCCGAGCAGGGAGCCCGATGCGGGACTCGATCCCGGGACTCCAGGATCATGACCTGAGCCGAAGGCAGTCGCTTAACCAGCTGAGCCACCCAGGCACCCCAGGATTGGAGGAGAATAAAAATGAGTTCAAACAAACAAACAAACAAACAATTTAAAATTCCTGGAAGGCATTTACTTCCAAAACAAGTCAGATTCCTTGACTTTAAAATCTGTTCCTGAATCAACTTCCTCAGTTGTAGAGAACATATTTCTAAGTGTGAGCTGTAGAGACAGATTCACTCACAAGTATAAAAAATGCACCTCTTTTTAAGTTTTGGAATACTTTTACTGCCTTGAAATGTAATGCCTTTTGCACTTGCCTTCTTCCTTTTGCTCCCTTTTCTCAGATCTCAGCAAAATAATTTGTTTAAATGCCAAGTATATACAAGAATTTATTGCTATATTTGAGAAGATCTTTGTTTCTTTTTGTTCACTGATATGGTACAAATGCCTAAAATATCGGAGTTGCTTAGTAAATATTTGTTGACTGAATGGTGATTTTTCCTGAGCTTGGTCTTACTTATCGAGCAATACCTGTGGGTATGGTGGAGGGCCGCAGGGAACGGTGGAGCTATGATTGTGGTCTTGTTGCATAAGGGAGGGTCTTAGTTTCCTAGTGCTACCACACCAGATTCACACAAACTGGGTGCTGTAGAACAACAGAGATTTATTTTCCAGAAATTATTCTGGAGACTGGAATTTTGAAGTCAAGGGCCATGCTCCCACTTAAGACTCTAGGGATGAATCCTTCCTGGCTTCTAGCTTGTGGTGGTTGCCGGCTGTCCTTGGTGTTTCTTGGCTTATGATAATATAATTCCAGGCTTTGCCTCTGTCTTCACATGGCCAACTTCCCTCTGTGCGTGCCTCTGTCGAAATTTACCTCTACTTGTAAGAATACTAATCATTGGATTAGGGTCCACCATAATCCAGTAAGACCTCATCTTGACTTGGTTACATCTATCTGCAAAGAACCAATTTCTAAATAAGGTCACATTCATAGGTTCTGGGTGGACATGAATTTTGGAGGACACTATTCAACTCAGCATGAGAAGGCTGAATAGAATGTCAAATACGAGGTGATCAGATTTTAAAATGTTGGCATATGCCAGTGTTTCTTGACCTCAGCACTATTGACATTTTGGACATGTTAATTCTTTGTTGTTGGGAGGGCTGTCCTGTGCCTCCTCGGTTGTTTAGCAGAACTCCTGATTTCTGTCTACTAGATGCCAGTAACACACCCCACTTGCTGAGTTATTACAACCAAAAAGAATTTCCAAACGTTGCCAAATGTCTGTGGGAGGCAAAATTGCAGTTGCTGGAGAACCACTGGTACATAAGTACAGAATGGCATTTTCTCAGACTACATCTTTTAAAAGAATGTTGTTCTTTGGTTAACACATTGGGTCTTTAAGACAATCGTATATAGGCTACAAAAAGAAGTAAGTATCAGGGTTGCTGTTATTGTCCTCATAGCATTAACACATTTGGGGTGATGCCAGCCTAATTCCAGAGAGGATTTTCCAGAGGGCAAAATCAGGATTGTCTGGTTCACTACAGTATAGCCAGGGCCTGGCACAGTGTAATAATAATTGCAAACCTAACCTATTGTTAGTACTCTATTACTCTATATGTGTTATCTCATTCACATAGTAAGTGCTCAAAAAATATTTGTAGAAATGAATACCCTTGGGCAGAACTGAATGTGTGAATGAATACAAGTTTTATTTCTGGTATCCTAGAAGGAGTAATATTTGCTAAAGAGAAGGGACCTTCTTCCACTGATTCTCTTTTTTTTTGGTTTGGGGAATTTTGATTGTTATATAAACACTGATACTGTGGCAGATGCAATTAGGTCCTAATACTAAAGGAGGTTGCCTATCTGCTCTCACCCAGGAGAGTGTTCTTCTGGTCTGAGGATCCTGTGCTGAACTGGACAGCCATGGTCCTTGCCTTCTGGAAAATCCCCTTCGGAGTTAGACTGCATCGCAGCAAATGCTTAACTCTGTCAGAACAGTAGTATACTAGGGCAACACTAAGAATTGAAACACCATTTGCCCTCCCCCAATGGATTCTTCTTTCATACTAAGTTATCTGCTGGAAATTCTTATCTAACAGTAACTCATTTCTGTCTCTTTAGGACCACTGAAGCCAGAAATAACCGTCTCCTACATTGCTGTTGCAACAATATTCTTTAACAGTGGACTATCATTAAAAACAGAGGTACTGTAACCTATGGGGCATGTGATAAGCAGGGAGAAAAATTTAATTTCTGCTTATTATTTTGAAATTTCAGAATTCTTTTGTAAAGATGTATGTAACTATGGCCTGAAGGCTTCACTGTAACAAAAGATAACTTGAACTTCAGCAAAGGACTGTGTTTTGAACCTACATATTATAGAAATTTTGTAGTTGAACAACACAGACCCTGAAGGTATGGTTATAATGGGTATGTTTTTAATACAGCAACTGAACTGAATGAAGCATCTACTTTAGGTCTTCCTCAGATTGTGGTGGTGTCTGTGGTGGTGAATACTGTGGCACATTTAAGTTATGGATGTTTAGTTGGGTTTCCATAACTTCCGTGAATGAACTTTTGCTGTCAGGACTCATGCTGCTCAAATGATGCATGTTATAACTTTTAACTAATTTGTATGTTTTAAAGTATATTCTTTGCTGGCATAGCTATTAAATATTAATAAATGTTTTAAGAGAGAAATTGAGATTTTTCATACCATGTCACAATTCATCATGAAGACATGTAGATAATGTTATTTGTTGATCCAGGTGTCGCTGAATGTGGGATTCTCCTAGAATTAAAGAAATCAGACATTTTTAACATCCAAGAGAGGAATGAGTAGAATTTATGATTCTCTTTTGATTTATAATAGAAGGGAAAAAAAGGAGAAAAATGTCTATTTATTTTTGAAAGAATTACTTAGGGTTTTTAAAGTTCTTATTCTAAGATGCTTATTCTTATATAGTTAGGGAAATCTTACTATGCAAGGATTTTTTTGGGGGGGGGATAGCTTTAAAAGTTGAAATTTTGTTTCAGCATCATGTCTTGCTTTACTTATTTTCTTTTAAGTGTGATTTGAATGAGGACCGAATTTAGTTACCTCTTTCTTTGGCCATCCTAATAGCAATATGGAAAAAATATGGTTTTACTAAATTTATGTATTCTGTAGTTACCTGGTTGGTATAAATCTTTCTATTGGAGCATTTTTTATATAGATGGGATCCCTGTGTAATATCTGATAAATTTGTGTTAAAAATTCTGACTATCCTTACTACCTGTTCTTCTGAAAATAACTGACATGGGATAGAATTTCCTAAATGTGTTAAATCTAGTTTTTGCAAATTATATTGACACGAAAGGACTATTATCAGTTCTTAGAGGGCACAGATTTTTTCTGTCAACATCTTCGTTCTATTGGTTCTCAAATATGGGGCCTAGTGATACAGAAAAATATTTGCTACTCACATGGTGCTGGACTGTTCTTCCTTGGAGGTCTTCCTGCTGGTTGTGGCTAATGCCCTTTGCAGAGCAGCTGCCTTACCCAAGTCCTCTTCTTGGGACGTTGCTCTAACTATGTCCCCTGGTGGTTGCTTAACGGTTACAGCTGTTACTTATGCCATGAGATATCTGGCAAGAGACTTGATTCTCTCACTCCTAGTTTCTTGCTTAATGTGATTCTGTAAAGTAGCCAACTTTGTGGGATGCAGGAGTTTAAGAAGGAAGAATGTCAGCTTATCAGCATTTCTCTAAGGACCAAAGTCTTCTGTAAGCACCTAGGAAACCTTCAGATCCAGCTAATTTGGATCTAATGATGAAATGCCTTAATCCTGTGCTTTATCACGGTATCTAAGTAGCCATCAAAGCCATTTCTTCCATCAATGGCCCTTTTCAAACTATACTACATTAAGTCATTTTCAAGATCCATTTAACTTAAGATGTTCTAGATTGCATCATTGTATGTGAAACCATCTTTAAGCCCTGCTAATTTCCTGGGCAACTGAACAGTTTTAAGTTAGGAGGTAGCAGTCTTGTTATTTATTTTCTAGTTAATAATCTTACGTTTATTTCAGCTGGGACTGCTGTTTTTGAGCCCTGTTAGAATAGTGCATTTTCACACACAGGAGACAGTAAATTATTATTGACTTGAGTTTATTTGAGCATTTATAGTGGTCCCATTCAAGTTTGATTTATACTGAACATTTCATGCAGTGTTACCCATACATTGATGTAATGATGTATATCCTAAAATTTGTCTTGCTAATTTATTAAAATCATAAAGAACTGTGTGTTAATACTAAAAAGATTAATGCTGTCTTCAGTTTTATGATTATTTCTAGATTTTAAAATACCTGTTGAAATGTTTTATGAAAATTTATGTATTAAAGTCAAATAAGTCACATTTGAAATATATTTTATGTTTAGCTAATTAGGAGCTACAATTTCAGAGGATTTGTCACTTAGCAAACCATGACAGGACCAATCTCATAATACCATGAAATGCCTGTGGCTACAAGGCACTGTGTTTGGCACTGGGTTGGAAACAAAGATGAGCAAAATGCTCAGGGCCTGGAAAGGGTCCTGAGTAGGGCAGAATATACAGATCTTTTCTTATTTTCCTAAACAGATTATTTTTTGAAGTTCTATTACCTTAGAAGTAAATATAGCAAATTTTAAATTTTAGGTTCTTGCTGCTTGTTTCCAGCCCAGAGCTATGAGACTGATTCTCAGAAACTGAATCAAATAAAGGTCAAATAGGGGTTAGAAGGGAAATTGGTATGTATGAAAATCTTTCTACATCTCAGTCAGAGTCCCTGATTTTAAGCAATTTTTGATACTGTCAGTGATAACTCTGGTATAATCAGTATTTGGAGTCTCTCCTTAAGTTTATTTTAATGGAATTTGACCTGTATTACATGTGAATAAATAAAATGTCATGCAGAATCAACTTTTCAATTATTCATGACAGCATTTATCTGAGTATATGGCCCTAAATTCTGCATGGGTATGTATGGAATAATACTATTTTGGATGTGATAGTGTTCACTGGCTTTTTGTTTTCCATTGTTACCGTATTTTATCTTTATGGTTGTATGAAGAAGATATGGAAAATATAATGCTGTTGTCAAAAGGCCCCTCATGACCCAACATGGTCAGCCTTTGTGATTCGTTTTGCTGGATTCTTTATTGTTCCATTGTTCTGATGCGATGGCAATTGCTTATAATTGTCATTTATTACATCAGCTAGTATTTTTAAACTACATTTTGTTTTTTATAACTTTTTCTGATTATAAAAGTAGTATTTCCCCATTGTAGAAAGATTAGAAAGAATAAAAACAACTAGTAGTAACATCTCTGTGATTTTTAGTCCCTTTTTTCCTAAACATGTTTTACATACAGAATATTTAAAAAGGAAATATTTTAAAAAATTGTATATGTATACTTGCATATATGTCACCTATGCCCACACATAATCTTTTTTCCCATGTAACTTGTAAAATTATAATTTTTCATGTAATTTAATATATTAATTTAATTTTTCTTCATGTATATAAAATTTACATTTTGTTTACTTTTATGAACATAAATCAGAGGGTACAAAGGTATATATGATGAGGAGTCTTTTTTTCTCCCCTATGTCAGATATCTGGAGATAACCAATGTTAATAGTTTGTATCTTGCCAGAGATATTCTGTGTAAAACATATGTGCCCCCCTTTCAAGCTGTGGTGTTTGTACTGCTTGTCACCCTGTCTTGTTTTACTCAAAAAACCTATCTTGGAGATTGTTTCATATCAGTACATAAAGAACTCCTTGTTTCTTTTTGTATGCTGGAAAGCATTCCATTTTATGAATTTGTCATAATATATTTTATTAGTCCTCATTGATGGACATTTAGGTAATTTTTAAGGTTTCGCTGTTAAAAAAATGCAGCAGACGATAACCTAAAAATTGTCCATTTTCCCACATCTGGGAGAAAATGTGAAGGATTAATTCCTAGAAGTAGAATTGCTAAGTCAAATGTTATGTGCAGTGTAAGTTGTGACAGATATTCCAAGTACCTCGAAGAGTGTCAGGTTCTCAGTGTTTGTTGACTGAAGGAATGAATTGCCAGATTGCTGTCCCTAAGTTGTGCCAATTTATACTTCTCCTGGTTAAGTAGGGAAGAGATCTTGTGTTACCACATGCTTGTCAACACAGTTTTAACATGGTTTTCACTAGCTCGTAACAGTCTTGTTATACCTTAAGTTACTTAATTATTCACCCATTTTTGGACTTTTAATTTGTTTCCTAATTTTGCTATACTAGATGATGCTGTCGTGATCAATTCTGTATATAAATACTTATAACCACATTTTATATCCTTAGAATAAGTACCTAGACATAACACTTCGGGATCCAAGAATGTGAATCGTGTTATAGTCTTTGAAATATATTCCCAAGTTACTTTTCAGAAAAGTTATGCTGTTTCATATTCCTATCTAAAGTATATGCAAATTCCTTAGTAACTGCATTCTGGCTCATCATTTTGTTACAGTTAAAAAATTAAAATATTAACATTTACTTGGTATTTATCGACCACATCTGAGTATATTTGAGTGGGATTTGGTTTTGAAACTGCTGAGCATTCTTGGAACTGCTGGTGCTCCTCTTTTCTCAGGGTGAAACTTTAAGAATTCTGATACGGTGTAAGGATGACTCCTTTGATCTTAGATCTGATCCATGGGCCTGGTGTGGCTTCTGGTCTGCCCTGGGCCTCCCATCTGTCCGAAGTTAGACCCAGATGGCCAGAAATTACTTAGGTGTCATTAGAGATGTTTGGTGGCCACAGAGCACTGCTGTGTGTCTTCACACAGGGAGATGTGTAGTGCGAGCCGATGAGACAGATCCCTGAACGTGGTGAGCAGAGTCAGCATTAACCCACTGTCCATCCAACTGATGGACTTCGGCTAATGTCTCTGAGGCTCAGGACTTCTTAAATGTCTTACTTGAACGAGGGGAGGCAGTCCAGTGCTATGCTTGTAACCAGTGAATCTCTGGTATCTTTGTGCTTTAATGACTTCTTGCATATGTTATTGGACTTTTTTATAGCACTTATTTTTACAGTATTTTTTATGCTACTTTCTGAATTTATTTCAACTGAATAATGCTATAACTCAAAGAAATCCAAATGCAAGTGCTTGTTAGTTAGTTTGCACATATTTGAACCCCCAAATTTAACTCATTATCCTTTTTTAGCTGTGAGACATAGAGCATGTGCCTGGTTTGTCGTGTTTTTTTTTTTTTTTAAAAGTTTTTTTATTTATTTGAGAGAGAGAATGAGAGACAGAGAGCACGAGAGGGAAGAAGGTCAGAGGGAGAAGCAGACTCCCCGCCGAGCAGGGAGCCCGATGCGGGGCTCGATCCCGGGACTCCAGGATCATGACCTGAGCTGAAGGCAGTCGCTTAACCGACTGAGCCACCCAGGCGCCCTGGTTTGTCGTGTTTAATGTGACTTTCTTTCGTCTGGGGCAGTAGTGCGGCACGATGGATGAAACAGACATGAGTTTGCTAGCATCACCAGAAATGAGTTTGATTCTGAACTGCACTGAATGGTGGCTCCCCACCTCAATTTCCTCCTCAGTAAAATAGATTAATAATATCTGGTGGGGTTGTTGTGAGGATTAAATGAGATAACATACATAAAGTGACAAGCTCAGAGCATGGCACATAGCTGCTGTTCAGTAAGCATTAGCAAAAAAATCCAGAAAGTTGATTTGGGGGGAAAAAGCCATTTTGAATTATAGAACATTGTTGGGGAAAACATTTTTAAAAATTATTATTTGTGTGTAGATTTGGTAATATCTTGCCAAAGTGAGGCCTTCTTAGAGATTAATCATATTTAATTAAAATGTGATAGGTCCTTAAGTAGTTATATACTTGTTTGTTCATAGCGTCAACAGTCCTTAGGTCTATACTAATGTAAAGGTACTTGGCTCAGTTTTGGTCCAGAATTTTACAAATCTGAATTGTTGGGGTATATTGTATATTCAGAAAAAATGAGAATTTTTCAGAAATTTTGTATAAAAATACCTCTTTTCCCCCCTTAAAGTCTGTTATGCATATACTTAGAGGTAAAGATTTTAGCTCTGAAATAACTCCAAATTAAAAACTAATTTATTTGATATTATTTTAGTATCAGGCTCTCTTCAGAAAAATAGTTTTCTTACCTTTGCTGTTTTGTGTCTTTCATTTTTGCAGGAGCTGACCAGTGCTTTGGTGCATATAAAACTGCACCTTTTCATTCAGATCTTTACACTTGCATTCTTCCCAGCAACAATATGGCTTTTTCTTCAGCTTTTATCAATCACACCCATCAATGAATGGCTTTTAAAAGGGTACGTTTAAATATTTGGAGGGGTCCACTTTTAATGAGGCATCTGTGGTGACTTTATTGTTTCTGTGGCAACTATATACAAAAGGGCTTATGTGTGGTATTTTATAAGGAAAAAAAACATTTGAAAAATTATTATCCTTTAAAATAATAGTGTTCATCAAGGAGAGTCACCAAAGAATTTTAAAACACGATCTTTTTTTTCTTCTATCTAAGGGTTTTATTAGTAAATTTTTTTAAATTGTAATTTTGGTATTGTTAACATACAGTGTGATATTAGTTTCAGGTGTACAATATAGTGATTTGACAATTCTGTATATTACTCAGTGCTCATCAACATAAGTGTGCTCTTATTATAACACAATCTTAAAATACACTGTCATGTTTAATCTTAAGGTTCTGGGATGGACACTCTTCTGGGAATTTTAAAAAGCTGTGTTGGGAGAGAGATGGAAGGGAATAGAAGATGTTAGATATGCTGTCAGTTGGGTGCTTTAGCTTGTACATTCTGTATCTTACCGAACGTATACAGATAGTAGGTGAGTCTAAGAAATGTTTTTTAAATGTATAGGAAAGAAAAAAATATATATAGGGAACAAACACTTTTTTTACTTGTTCTATGTTTGATATGATAGTTGAATTAACAATAGATTTTTATTAGACTCTTTTCTTCCATTAAAAATGCCATGTTTATTAAAGGGATTTAATGAATTTAAAAAATTATTTGAAGTGGTTTAAAACTAACCACATTTTAGCAGCATGGTATAATAGTCTAATAGTTAAAACACTGAACTTAGAGTCCCGAGATCCCTTTCTGACCCTGCCCCTAACTTGCTGTGTGACTTTGAAGAAGTCATGTCATAGATTTAAACCTTACTTTCCCTGCCTATAAATAATGAGGATAGTCATACTTTTATTGTCTGCTTTGGTAACGGTGTGCAGGATCTCAATTGAGATCACTTACTCATCTATTCAGGTCACTTGTTTTCTTCCTACTGTGTGCCAGGAGTTATTATAGGTGTTAGAGAAACAATAGTGAACAAAAATGGCAAAGTGCCAGTTAGTTTTACAGGTTGAGAAGACCTGGGTGTGATTGGCAATAAACCAAGTAAGCGGATGACTAAGATGGAGATAAGTGATGGGAAGTAAAACTGTGATATGGTTGAAAGTGGTTGGGTGGGCAGACCAGTGATTAATTTAGATGGCAGAGTTCTAGGGATAGAATGGTCTAGGCAGAAGGAAAGAATGTGCAAAGGCTGTAAGGCAGGAATAAGCCTGGTATGTGCTAGGGTCAGGAAAGTGATGATGATGGCCAGAGCCTGGTGATACAGAGGAAGAATAATATGACTTGGAGCTGGAAGGGTAGGCAGGGACCAGGTCACACAGAGCCTTGTAGGTCCATGATAAAAGCATTCAGATTTTACTCTGCATGCGACAGAAAGCTACTGGAGGGATTTAAATGATGGAATGTCGTGGTCGGATTTGTATTTTCAAATTATTGTCCGTGCTGCTGCATGGAGAATAGATAGTAGAGGGGCTGAGAGAAGCCTAGGAGAGCAGCTTGGAGGCTCCTGTGGTAAGGTCACCGTGCAGTAGAGAGAAATGGGCGCTGGAGGATTTACTGAGCTCTCGGAACCTAGAGGGGGATAGGATGTGGAGAGAGGAGGACAGGGAGGAATCAAGGATGACTTCTGGGTTTTGGGTCTGAGCCACTGGGTAACTGGTGGCATCATTTTCTTAGCTGAGGAGAAACAGAGTGGGACAAGAAGGGGAAATTAAGACTGCTGGTTTGGCCAGATTGAGTTGGAGAGAACGAGCATAAAATTTTCACCGAAAAGCATAAAATACGGCAGAACTATGATGACATCATTTTTGAGCAGCAATGTATGATGCATAGTAAGAACAAATAGTTACTGTTTCCCATGTAAAGGGCACTCAAGGAATAGGAAGATATTAACTCATTTTTCTTGTATTCAGGGAACATCCAGGGTAGTTGGATATGTGGGAGATATAAAATAGTAACCAACCACAGTGGGGCAGCATATGAGTTGTTAGGTAAGTAGTGTAATGAGTTAAAGGGTAAGAGGTTCAGCAAAGGTTGTGTATTTCTAAAGTAGAGAATTCAAAAATAAGGCGTTAGTGGGAGGCAAAGATAAAAAATCTCCTCACAGCCATGTGGCAGAAGGCCTGAACTACTGGGCTGAGGCGTTTGGGTTTGCATCTGTAGATGATGGGGAGTTCTTAAATGTACTAAACAAGAGAACAATATGCTAAAAAGTGGTCATTAAGAAAGATTAATCTGATAGCATTGTACTGGGTGTGTTATTAGTAGAGTAGGGCTTACAATCTCAGGAAGCTAAGATACAATTCTCACCTCAGGATATGAAGCTTAAAGGAATATGCACTTGGCCTAACTAACTTAGGGAAAGCCCTTACTAGCCCACTTTTTCTCTGTTCCCCTCCCCCTGTTTGAGAGTACACAGTATGTTAATGTGAGGGAGTTGCAGACTCCTACCTCAGGAGCATGTTTAAGTCATTGAAATAAATAAATATTTTGAGCACATCCTTCTTACCTTGCTGTGTAAAGGGAAAGAATGGAGGTAGAGAGACCATTCATTTATAGAAGTCCAAACTTGGGCAAAAAGCATCTGAAGAGGGATGCTGGCAACAGTCATGGAAAGAATGGGAAGTTGGTTGTGGTAATAAATTGATTTATGAGGAGCAAATGGAGCCACGTGTAACTCCAAAGTTTCAAACTGGACATTAGGAAAAAACCCACCAAAAGTATCCCATTGACAGAAATAAGTCAATTCAGAGGTGAAGCTGATTTTTTAGAAAATATTAGACATGGGGGCGCCTGGGTGGCTCAGATGGTTAAGCATCTGCCTTCAGCTCAGGTCATGATCCCAGGGTCCTGGGATCGAGTCCCGCATCGGCCTTCCTGCTAGATGGGGTGCCTGCTTCTCCCTCTGCCTCTGCCTCTCTCTCTCTGACTCTCATGAATAAATAAATAAAACATTAAAAAAAAAAGAAAATATTAGACATGTTTAATTTGAGGTGGCTGTCACAGGCAGCTACAAATTTGGGAATGGTGGTTGGGGCTAGAAATGTAATGGCAACAGTACTCATTTTGCTGTTACTTATTTACATTTGTGTATTGAATATTCTTGGAGGTAGGAATATATAAATATATATATAAATAAATATAAATATATATATATACATCCTTGTGTAGTATCCTAACTATAGAACACATGTGTGATATGTATTCAATAAATAGTGAAGGATTTTTTTTTTTTTTTTAAGACAGGGAGAGCTCTGGTTTTTTGTACATAGAAGGGAAGGGGCCAGAAAAGAGGGAAAGATTGAAAATACCTGGGAGGACCTGTCCCTAGTGTTGGGGGTAGGAAAGATAGAATGCAGAGAGGCTAGAATAGTAGGCCTAGATAAGTCTTTGACCCTAGATGCCAGAATAAGAGTTTAATCCTTGGTAGGTGGCTTTGTGAATTTGGACAAGTTATTTAACTTCTCTTTTAACTTCAGTTTTCAGTAAAATGAGAAAAATAATAGAATTTACCTTAAATATTTGTGAGGAAGAAGTGAGTAAAGTATCTAGAAGAGTATCTGTTATAAATGGTAAATGCTTAGTAAGTATCAGTGATGATAATAGTGATGATCATGAGAAAGGCTCAGAGATTGGGAATTGATAATAGGACAGACAATTTAAGCATCACTTGGGAAAATAGACCTTAAAAGAAGACTTGAATTGAACTGGAAATTCTTTTAAAAGTGTTTTCTCATTTTCAGTCAAAATGAATTAAAGCTTTTCTTTTTCTTTTTTCTGATTTCAGAGATAATGTAAATTCATTGCATAAAGCTTAAATGATACATTCTTACAAAATTAAACGATACATTCTTACAAAAGCGAGAAGAGGTCATCTGTAATCCTGCACTTAAAATTTGTTAAAGTCAGGCACTCTGTGGCCTCTGTTCCCTATATGAACTTTTCTACTTTTAGTCAGGCCAGCAACTCGCTATGTCTAGAATGTATATTCGATCTAGGTATAAAGTATATCCATGCTTTGGGTGATAAGTAATGTTTTATATCTTTAGTATTTAGATTTTACTACTCATAGTTTCATTTGCTTGTTATGCAATGTGTTTTCTATCCTAAACTAAAAGAATAGACTTCTTGTCATGATCTGGGGAGTATACACATAATTTAAGAAAAACTAAATTTACTACGGTTTGAATCCAAGAAGTATATGATCATGTCATGCTTGTTCTTTAATGATGTTACAGCAACAGGAACATTTTTTTTTATGAGCTGAAAGTTTGAGAATTGCTATTTATAATTGAAAAAACCTTATAATTGCATTTTCTTTTATTTTTCAGTTTGCAGACAGTAGGTTGCATGCCTCCCCCTGTGTCTTCGGCAGTGATTTTAACCAAGGCAGTTGGTGGAAATGAGGTGAGTCATAGGGCTAACTTTATTTAAACATAAGTAGATGCTTTACTTTTATTTTATTTGTTTTTATTTTGTTTTATTTTTTATTTTATTTATTTATTTATTTTATTTTTAAAATTTAATTTTATGATGAAGAAGTCATGTCACAGAAAACGCATAACTATAGCAGCTTATGAAAGAAGTGTAGGTATATTCATTAATTCGGATGATGCTAAAATTAATGCTGATGAGTGGAAGTTAGGATTTCAAAGAGGAGGGGCAAGGGAGGTAAATGAAAAAGAGATGGTGGTTTTTCTATCTCAGTGGGAAATTGGGAGACAGAAGACAAGCAATCCAAGGATTCCTTCCCAGACTGATGAGCTGAGGATACCCCTATGGCCATTCCTTGGTTCTTAAAAAATTTCTAGCAAACTAAATTTGTGGAGAAAGGGTCAATATACACTTAATGACAAGTAAAGATTATATAAAAAGGAGAAATGAGGCAAGGTTTCTTTCTTTTTTTTTAAGATTTATTTATTTATTTTAGGGAGAGAGAGTGGAGGGGGGGTGGGAGGGGCAGGCAGTCGGAGAGAGAATCTCAAGCAGACTCTGTGCTGAGCCGGGAGTCCAACATGGGGCTTGATCTCATGACCCTGAAATCATGACCTGAACAAAACCAAGAGTGGGTGGCTGAACAGACTGCACTACCCAGGCGCCCTGAGGCAAGGTTTCTGAGATGAGTTCAAAGAGATTATTCAGCAGCTAGAGGACTGTGGCAGAGTGCTTGTATATTGGGACAACAGTTGTCCATTTCAGGGCTACTTAGAGGTGGTTCCTCTTGGCTGAAAGGCATGACAACTTCATACCGAGGGACTTTGCTTCATGATAGCTTATTCCCCCTTTTCGATTTACAGTGTCTCATTCAGAAAAGAATACTATTCAAGAAGGGAAGATATAAGGGGTTCCTACTTCAAAAAAAAAAAAAGGATTCATTCTTAGGATTTTGCTTTCTTAGCATTTGTTTTTATTTTCATCCACTTTATTTATTCTGAAAATATTTATTAAGTACCTGTTATATTCTTTTTAGAAATAGGTTTATCGAATTATTGTGGACATACAATAAGCTGCATACATTGAAACAATTTAATGTTTTGACGTATGTATACCTGTGATACCATGACCGCAATCAAGATAATGAACATATCCATTATCCTCAAGACTCTCTTGTGTTCCTTGGTAATCCCTCTCTCCTGCCTTTCTGGTTGTCTCTCTTCCCCAGGCAACCACTGATCTGTTTTCTGTCACTGTAGATTAGTTTGTATTTTTGGAATTATTGGTATGTTTTTGGTATTACTGGAATTATATAGTATATGTGGGTGTGTGTATGTGTGTGTGTGTGTGTGTGTGTACACACATATAATACATTTTTTTTCTTTTCTGTCTTCTTTTTTCACCATAATTATTTTGAGATTCATCTATGTTGTATGTATCAGTAATTCAGCCCTTTTTTATTGCTGGGTATTCTTATTTTTTATGGGTGTACCATAATTTGTTTATCTTTTCACCTGTTGATGGACATTTGGGCATTTTCACTTTGGGGCTATGAACATTTGTGTATGAAACTTTTCAGTGAATGTGTACTTTCATTTCTCCTGGGACTACTTAGGAGTGGAATGTTTGGATCATCTGGAGGTATATGGTTTAGCATCTTCAACCAAGGGAAGAATCACCAATAAATAGTTCTAAATCATTTCTGAATATCTTCTGAAGTGGACCATTTCTATCAATAAACAAGCACTCTTCTTTGACCACAGGTATATATTTAACTTTTTAAGAAATTGCCAAGCCATTTTCCCAAGTGGTTGTACCATTTTATGTTTCAGACAGCAGTGTCTGGAGTTCCAGTGCTCCATAGCTCATCAACACTTGGTATTGCCAGTCTTTTTAACTTAGCCATTCTAATATGTATCTAGAGGTATCTCATTGTGGTTTTACTCTAATTTATAGCTCCCAGCTACTAATAATGGTAAGCATTATTATCTTTTCATGTGTTTACTTGCTATACATGTCTGCTTTGGTAAAATATCAAATCTTTTGGCTTCTTCTTCTTTTTTTTTTTAACTAGGTGGTTTGTTTTCTTATTGATCAGCTTTTTGAGTTTTATATATTCTGGATACAAGTCCTTCATTACAAAGCATAGATATATGCTTTGTACATATTTTTTACAGTCTGTAGCTTGTCTTCATTTTCTTACTGGTGTCTTTTGAAGAGTAGGATGGTAATGAAGGCAGTAAATGTGGTTGGATTCTGGATGTATTTTGAAGGCAGAGGATATGCTGATGAATTGAATGTGGGATATGAGAGAAAGAGAGGGGTCATGAATGACTCCAAGACTTTGACTGAGTAGGTGAAGAGGGGATTGCAGAGGGTTTTTTTTTTTTTATCATGAATGGACATTGTACTTTGTAAAATGCTTTTTCTGCATCTTTCTTATAAAATGCTTTTTCTGTGAATATTGAACCACCCTTTTGTCACGGGAATAAATCCCATTTGATCATGGTGTATGATTTTTTAAAAATATATTGTTGGATTCAGTTTGCTAATATTTTATTGAGGATTTTTGCATCTATATTCATAAGAGATATTGGCCTGTAGTTCTCTTTTTTTGTAATGTCTTTATGTGATTTGGGTATCAGGGTAATGCTGGCTTCATAGAATGAATTTGGATGTTTTCCTTCCTCTTGTATTTTTTGGAATAGTTTGAGAAGAATGGGTACTTAACTCTTCTTTAAATGTTTGGTAGAATTTGCCTGTGAAGCTGTCTGGTCCTAGATTTTGTTTTTTGAGAGTTTTCTGATTACTGATTCAGTTTCATTGCTGGTAATTGGTCTGGTCAAATTTTCTATTTCTTCCTGCTTCACTTTTGGTAGTTTATATGTTTCTAAGAATTTATCCATTTCTTTTAAGTTGTCCAACTTGTTGACATATAGGTTTTCTTAATATATTCTGTTACCAATGTTTGTATTTCTGTGGTGTTGGTTGTTATTTCTCTTCTTTCATTAGTAATTTCGTTTGGGTCCTCTCTCTTCTTTTTTTTTTTTAATGAGTCTTGCTAGAGGTTTATCAATTTAGTTGTTCTTTTCAAAGAACCAGTTTTTGGTTTCATTGATCTGTTCTATTGTTTTGTTCTATTATTTTTTTAATCAAAGGGTATTTAAAGCAAAAATTGGATGAGATTACTTGCAGAGAGAGCATAGTTAGAAAAGAGATGAAGTTCAAGGACTGAGCTCTGGGACCCTTCAACATTAAGAGGTCAGAATGAGGAGTAACCAGCAAAGGAAACAGAGAAGATTAAACAGAAGGAAAAACAAGAGAGTGTGGTATCCTGGAACCAGGTGAAGAAAGGGTTGGAAGGAGGAAGGTCTGATCAGCCGTGTCAAATTCTGATAATATAACTTGTGTAAGATGAATTCTGAGAATTGACCATCGAATTAAGCTATGTGGAGGTTATTGGTAACTTCGACCAGAGTGGTTTTGTGGAGTGCAAGGGCAAAAGCTTGTTTGGAATGGGCTCAAGGAAGAATAAGAGGAGAATGGTTAGAGACAGAACGTATACACAACTGTTTTGAGGTCCTTTGTTACAAAAGGGAAGAGAGAAATGGGGCTGTATTTAAAAAGGGATATGAGGTCAAGATTTTTTAAATTGCAGAAATGACAGTATTTGTTTAAGATTGATTTATTTATTTTAGAGAGAGAGAGAGAGAGCATGAGCAGGAGGGGCAGAGGGAGAGGGAGAGAGAATCTCAAACAGACGCCCCACTTAGTGCTGAATGGATCTCAATCTCATGACCCTGAGATCACAACCTGAGTTGAAACCAAGAGTAGGATGCTTAACTGAGGTGCCCCAGGTGCGCCACCCAGGTGCCCCAGAAATGATAGTATGTTTCTATCATGATGGGGATATATAGTTGAGAGGAAGTTGTTTATTTAAGAGAGTGCTGAAGTAATTTATTTGGTCAAGTGGAAGAGAAGGGTTTTGGGTTGCATGAGCTTCAGTAGGAGCTTGGATCGTTTATTGATGATAAAGAGAGAAGACAGAGTGTGTGGATAGAGATCCATGAAGATGGGTAGAAAGAGTGCACTTGGGAGTTTCTGATGACTTTTTGTTTCTTAGCTCTCTTCTCATTTTCTTTGTTGTCTTCTGATTTTTACTTTTTTCTCAGCAGCTGAGAAGGATGATGGAGTAGGTGATATTAACATTTGAGATGAGAGGATAAAATGTGCAATTGCCATCTAGGAGAGTGAATTAACTGGAGTATGGGAGCATTGCTGGAAGCACTAAGGATCCAGTTGAGACCTGTGGTCGTGCATTGCAAATGAAGCCAGGCATCATGGTTGTGTGTTTTCTCCTTAGTTTCTTGGTGTAGGAATGGAATTGGCAGAGAGTTGGATTTAACCTGTGTTTCATTATGCTGGGTGGTTCTTTTTAGTTGTCACATAATTAGTGAGCTAGAGGAGTTACAGGAGTCTTAGACTAGTCCTTGCCATGATTATCTTTCTACTCCTTTGAAAGAATTTGAGGAAAGGGTCTCTTTTGGTATATCTGAGACCAGTGGTAATTGACTGAAAGGTGTCATTTACCTCTTTCTCTCTGATGTGATTCCCTTAAGAGCTTTTTTTTAAAAGATTTCATTTATTTGACAGAGAGAGACACAGCAAGAGAGGGAACACAAGCAGGGGGAGTGGAAGAGGGAGAAGCAGGCTTCCCATGGAGCAGGGAGCCCGATGCGGGGCTCTCTGTCTCAGGACCTGAGCCCAAGGCAGACGCTTAATGGCTGAGCCACCCAGGCGCCCCTCCCTTAAGAGCTTTAAAACTAAAAAGCCTTTTTGTTCTCAGATGACTTTTGGCAGAAGTTCAAAGTTCACTCAATTTCTTGACATTAACATTGCATTAGAAATTATATTTACATGTTTATTCCCCACTAGATATTTAAATAATTCACATTAATGTTATATGTTAATAA